GACAAACTGTCAATCACCTGGGGCACATAACCGCATACCTGCCAGATGTGTGCCACTCATCTGGAAGAAAGTGTTTGACAACATACACAACAGGATTGCGGCATTATTCATGTCCTGACGACCAATCCCATCTCCCCCTCCTTTCCCCGCCTACACTTTTTAGATACCAGACATACAACTGGCAGACGACTGTTTTTTCAGTAGCAGCTTGCTACAACAACAGCGCTAAGAAAAAAGACATACAACTCCAGTGTTTTCAGTTTTACAACTTAAAGTGGCATACTACAGAAGAATTCCCACCAAGTCTTAGTGCTGCATGCTTAGTTAATTTCTACTTCTCACTATGCCTTTCTTGAGAATACTGAATATATGAAGTTAATGTATAATAACGATTCACTTCTGAAAGCTGTGTTGTCACATGCATTGACCTACAAGTGAAGGATGTGCTTTAATTTCACTGTGCTTTACATACCTGCAGATAGCAGCAAAAGGTGCACTGTCATTCACTGAAAGGCTGATGCATCTTTTTTCAAATAGATTCATCGTTGTCCTCTCCTTGAAGAGTTCCCAGTGCACCTGAATAGCATTGGGCTTGGTGAACCACAATCATGTATAGCTGTTTCCAATCCTGCCCTACCTTTACAGCTTCAAAAACTAAGAGCAAGACCATAAATTGTGCTCAACTCGTTACCTTATTGCTTTGCCGCTTTGGTCTCTCATGATATCGCTGACTCTGTAACCACATCACATCACCACGAATTTGGTCTCTCATGATAACGCTGACTCTTATCTACAGGCTGGAGTCAAAATTACACTGATTTGACCCGAGGTGAAAACGGTTGAAACGAAAGTATGTGCATTACTTAGCCCTAAATTGTCCTGATTCAATTCAGACAAGTGTTGTACAACTATACCCGTATAAAAGCGCATGAAAATATATCCCTTTGACGCGCATGAGGTGATAATTCTTATTGGCATGCTTGTCTAAGAGCCACATCAGAGAGGTCCGACAAGGATATATTGTCATATGTAGTTAACTTTTGACAAGCACACCTTCGTTCAATGATCATGCATGCAGTTGGTTAAGAATTTCACATCAGCCGCAGTCGTAATCTAATTCACGATTCCTTAGGTTTTCTTCCCTAACATGCTTAATTTCCAAGATCGAAAATGAAAGATATTCGCCTAGGTTGTTTTAAACCGAGTGCTAGCATGCACTCGTTCATATCTGCATTAACTTTCACAGTCACCTGATCGAGCAACGCGTCATTTGCATGCAGCATTTGCGCGAAAATCATTTTCTTTCGCATTTATTCAGGAATTCACGTGCCGCAATGGTTCACAATGAATGTTTAATGCACGTGTGCTGGCACAGATTCACATGATTATTCGTCATTGTGCATAATTTTTGTTCACTAGTGCAGTGGTGTATGTACTTATTATTTTAATTATTGGGTATACATGAGCTATATCATTTTAACATGTGTGTATCAGTTTGATTTATCAGAGTATTCTTTTATTTCCACATAGACTTATCAAGTGTTTTTTTTTGCATTATGCGCACGCTTTTTTTTCCTGCACATAAATGTTATCCGTTAATTATGCTCTAATTAGTTTTTAATATCGTTATCTACTCACTGTCTAGCCGACCAATATGCCCTGCTCGCTTATAGGTGTACCATATCATTTTAACATATGTGTCTATTAGTTTGATTTATCAGAGTATTCTTTCATTTTCACATAGACTTATCAAGTTTTTTTTTTGTATTATGCACACGCTTCAAGTCTTGCTTTCTTAGCACTTGCCATAGTAGTTGGTGCTCCACTGAGTCGCACGCATGCGTTTTATCGAGAAAGGCCATCATCAAAATCCTTTGCTCTTTCTCCGCAATCTCAGTAGCTTGCGTCACAGCAGACTGGTTGTCCTCCAGGCATCATGTCGGCCTGGAGCCATTTTGCAGCTCTCTGTCACTGGTCCCATTAATTAGGCAATTGTCAGGCTAATTGCAAAGGCTGACGTATCAGCCCCCCAAATTGCACCACGAAAGCGCGGACAATTTAATTTAGCGTTGGTCCCTTGGTGCACCAGCGAACTCCAGCTGTTGATGCAAGCACATGGCAGGCGCTTCAGCGTAGCCGTCAGATCACGGTGAAGCAAGCGCGTTTTTAGAGTCTTGCGCCGCGCATCGGTGTCCTCATGGCTGTAATAATGCGAGAGCACCTTGAACACATTCACCGCTGGGGCTATTTCGTGTAGCAGTTGTAAAACTAACGCCTAAAATGTAAAGAAAGTATAATCGTCAACGACTGGCACAGAGCATTTGATAATTTCTCAATACTTACTCTGATATTGTCGCATACCTCCTGAGGCACCGTCTTAGCGTGGCTAAGGTCGTTCTCACCAACATTAACGACAGCGAAATTCCCGCGCTGCAAGCCCATTGTAGAGACGGCCTGAGCAATGTGCACGGCACCGAATCCACTGAAACTGAATGAGCAGATATTCACGGATGTCTTCAAAGGAAGGCGACTCCTGCACATGAATTTCAGTTGGCTATCGCCAATCACCACACCACGCAATAAAGGCATAGTTACGTCCAACGAAAAGGCCGGCGACGGTAGCGAGTTTGCTGGCTGTAATGGCGGTGCTGGCTGGGGACAAGGCTGAGGAATCGTCGGATCGTTCCGTAGTTACAGTAGTGCCTGTCTAGGGGCAGAGAGCACCTCCCTAAGAAATCGTCACATACGTCACCCTTTGTTCGCAGAGGGTGCTAGACTACGGGGATCTGCTTCTCAAAGAATGAGGCAGAGCCGAGAGTTAATACCAGAACAAAAAGATATTATCAAATACGGTAGAACAATCAACACACAAAGATGCACATTCGGCAATCCGTACAATACGTCACCAATCGCAAGGTGGTCAAAACAACGGGTACACAAAACAGCAAGATATACTCAAAACAATGGGCACAGACAACAACACGCGCTACTATGCAATCTCGTGCATTAACTAACCAAGACACTTATAGACTAAAATGTTTGTCAAACGAATTCAGTTCAAAGCTTGAGGAACAAAGCTTGAATGCTTCTCTTCAAGGCGTCCAGCGCCAGTTGTCGACTCGTTGCACCTGCGGTTTTTCTTCCAGGAACTCTTGCGTCATCAAATATCCACACTTCAATAACAAAACTTCTTCTCTGGGAACACGTCGGCCACCCACGCACTGCGACTGATAAACATGTCTTCCCCCACAGGCGGTAAGCACACAGTTTTCTTCAGCGTGTAGCACAAGCATTCACACAACACACTGTTGGAAAACCTCTTCATCTTCTCCTCTTCGCGCGCTTGTGCAAAACTCCATCTCCTCTGTTTGGTCACTGTAGAACAAGCACTCTGTCTGACAGCGGAGAACTGTCTTTATCTCCTCCTGTGGCTCCCTTCGTTGCTGTCTTTATATAAGTTCGCCCTGTGTTCTGAAAGTTCTGTCGGCGCACCACACAGCAAACTCGGGAAGGGGTGAGACTTTTCTCGAACTCTCCAGCGACCCGTGACACAACCAGGAGTGACTCACATCTTCCTTCTAGCATGTTTGTGGAATTCGCTCTGTGATAGATGCGAGGAGTTTGGTCGGCGTGGTGGCGGTGAGCACGAGGCGTCTTTTTGATACTTATTTTTCCTTTCGTGCCGGCTTCTGTTAGTGTCCCAAAGGCGTCTCGATTATACGTAGCGGTTAGATTCGGAGGCACGCGCATTGTTGAGCACTTGTTTGTGACACTCTCCAAGAACCGAGAAGGAGCTTGTAACGAATTTGACTCACAAATGGCTGTGTAAGCTGTGGGAATTGAGGCTAGCCCCCTGCCTTTGTGTGGGCTTTGTTGCCTTTTCCGCCGTTCTCATTTTCCGACTAGACTCCCCTCCTCCACTGTCGGCCACGCTGGGAGAGCGGAATGACGTTTAACCCCTCTCACCCGGTAGCGGATGTCGACTGTGGCGCCGCGCGCAGGGTCTCCCGAGAGGTATTGCGCGCGTGCGTCGGAAGCGGGTCAGATACTCTCCGGGACAGCTGATGGTGAGCCATGCAATCTTTACCGTCCGGCGACTCCCGTCACTCGGGGCTCGTCGGACTTCGCTGACGACGCTTCGCGCCCGAGGCGAACGCTCACCTTTTGTTGCTCCTCTGCTTACGCTCGGCCGAAGGGTGGTACGGTGTCCTAGAGCGTGGCTAAGCTACGCCGATCCATCTCCCTCCGAAGCCAACGCGAGCACCTTTGCCCTCGCTCGAGCAACCGGGCCTTCGTCCCGTGTCTCCGTGAATCAACTTTACCACGGAGACGTGCTCGCGGCACCCTGTGTAGAACTTTTACACCCATGGCGTGGATAAGCCCATTTGCTTTTCCGCCGCACCTTTGCAACGGGCTGTACTGCGTTTGGTGTTGCCACAGATAATAAATTGTTGCGACCTTGAGCAGTATCGTGTTCTCGCCACGGCGACGGTTAATCCGTGCCCTGCGGCTCGCTAAGACGGGACCCCCGCTAGCACCCGTACTCCTTCGGGATACATGCCACTACAAAGCAGACATAGCAAATTATATGCTGTGGTATTATTCAAACACTGCCGTTATTCGAAATGCGAGCTATACCGGGACTACTTCGTGAAGAAATACATGGGCAGTAGCTCCGCCCCTGTAGCTTTCCCTTCATTGCCACAGAAAGCTATCCCTAAAGGTATAGGACCTCCTCTTTACTGGAAGCATGTGTGCCATCATTAGTTGAATCAAATGTGCAGTGTGGAAAAGCATACTTTGGGATTATTAAAAGGGCCCCGTTCGGTTTCGGCACACAAAACTCGTAAAATTTATTGACTTAAGGAAGCCGTGTAACAGTGACCAAAAGGCTAGGAAACTGGGCATTCTATTTAAATTCTACAGCTTAATACGCTTCACGCAGAACTACATGCTAAAAATAACTTCTGGTTATCACTACTGAGGAAGAAACACAGGAGCTCATTGGTTACACACTTTATTATTGCAATAAATTAATCTGTTATACATACACACTACAGTACATTGTTCCAGTCCAAAAAATGAGTCGCTCGAAAATTGCCTATCTTCTGATTGTCGGCAGTGTAGTTGTACGACCGAAAACAGCCATCACAGAAGAAGTACGGGTCACTGGTGACACGTTCATTCTCGTAGGTCACCCACCTGGAAAAGAGTTTACACCTGTACTCTGAGTGCTGGTTAACGGCAAGCCAAATTGGGCAGAATACAAAGCTTAAAGGGACCAGTGATCGCCAGAGCATGAAACGAGATGATGACTTCACTGACTGTCCGTCCCACTAACTCAAACCAACCCCGTTCTTTTTTTGCATATATATATATATATTTTTTTTTCATTGAACGACGCAAAACATGACCTGTGGCAGCAAGAACAAGAACGAAGCAATGTACCCGGCCACATGACCACCGATTGCTGTACACAGGCGATGATTTTCTCGTGAATATTGAAATACTGTTTGTTTGTCTAAGCTGATATTAGACAAAAAAGTGTACTGCGTAAAAGTGCCAGCGTTAGTAGTGAGTTGCCATCGTGTGATGCAATCGTCCCATGCTCGTCAGCGCGCTTCCAGGAACTTTTCAGTGGCTTGGCTTGGCTAGTGTATCGAGAGTAACGACGCCGGTATATGCCCCCCATGACACAGGTGCACCCAACTTTGGCCACAGGTGCACATGGTGGGGCACAAATAAAAGAAATGTGTATATAGTAAAAACTCCTTAATTACAGCTCAAAGAGAGCCTATAAATTGCTAGAATTAAATGGTGTTTAAATTAGTGGTCAAGCACTAGAATTAAAGGGCACTGCATCATACTGCGCGGGTAGAAAACAAATAAGCCACCTTTGAAGCCATCACTGAGATCTAGGCACTGCTACAGACTTGTGGCAGGTGATTTAGTGAATACATTCACGGAGCTCTAACAGCGATCGTAATTAATAGAACAGACAGTGACAGCCAGAAATAACCACAGACATGCACTCGCGTCAGCAGCGAGTCTTAATGCTCCAAAATACATGAACTTGCATGGCAGAGTTGACGCAATTAGAACTGGAAGCCACCAGTAATTTGCATTGGCAAATTATTCTTCCATCGCAACTCTACGAGTATCGCTTCTAGCTCCATCACAGTGTTTGCATTCTCGTCTACTGAGAAATGCCGCTGTTTCGTTGTATTGCATCTCTAGTAAATTTTTTTCAAGTTTGGTTTTGCAACATACTGTGATCACTCTGGACCAAGTTCTGCGAGGAGTGATTAAAACAAAAGGCTTGCAGTTTGAATTGACCGCTGTGAATAATGACCCATTCCGATTATTAAGAATTGAATTGCACCCCATTGAATTACACGGGACTGCTAGGACCCCCCCCCCCCCCGAGTTCAAATTAACGGACATTCACTGTAATTCCACATAATCTCATTGTCACAGCCCGTTATTTACGATATAGTTCAAAAACTCTAAATAAAAGTTGTTAAGCATAGTTTAAGGAACTCCTTTGAAAGCAGAACAACGACAGCTTTCACTAATCAAGAGAAGGGTTGGCCGCAGATGTACATATAGGTTTAGAGCATTTCCGAACTAAAAATGCTGCTTGTAAAATAACTATGAGCTCTTGGTATTAACCACTGCAGCTACAAACACTATGAAGGGTGAGCTTTCTATTGCAACATAAAAAAAAATTGTGGTGAGAGAAATCATTGTAGGTCCCTTGAAGAGATTAAAAACAATAGTGTTTTCTTACGTATAACTGGCACATTCGTTATGATTCATGGAAACTAAAAAAAAAGGTTTTGGCATGAAGCTAACTATTCTGCATAGCTGTGAAGCTCAGCCATGAATACACCTATTCACACAGGCATTCGGGTTATTTGTCTGAACTGAACATTACGAAACACCTTGCAGGCTAATTGGTGTTAAGTGCATTACGCAAGCACAACAACCTCGTTGTATGTATGTGGTTATTTACATGTACCACTGGAAGGATTGTGATTTGTGATTAGCTTGCCTGAACAGCAAACATGTCGATAAAAGATGCATAGACAAAGAAGTACATGATATTGAATGCAGCAGTCTGGGCTAACGAAGGCAAAATCACGTATAAATGTTTCATTTCATTTATTTCATTTCATTTCATTTCATTTATTCCACCTTAAAGGCCCGGAGGCATTACATAAGGGGGGGCGGCGTACAAGGTATGTCGAACAACTCAACAAAACTCGAAGGGTTCCAAAACGTAAACATTCAAAGAACAATGAAAAAAAAAGGTACAATATGCAAAGTAAAACGCCAATATTACCAAATGCAAATAAAAAAGTAATGGTACAAAGGTAAGCTTCCAGAGAAAAGTGACGACAGTTTATACATTAGTTAAAAAAAAAAAGTATTTAAACATTGGCAGGGAAAACAGCACATTCAGTTAGATTGCGACATGTGACATTTTAGCTTACTGCGGAAAATTTGGCGGTTATTACACGTGACTATATTATCAGGTAGTTTATTCCACAGTGTTATCCCATTGGGAAAGAAGGAAGTAATCATTGCAGAAGTGTGTCCATTTATTGGTGCGATAGGGTGACTGTGGTTTATGCGGGATGAAGTTCTGTGTGATGGTTGAAGGAGGACGTGCCGTGATTGAGGGTGATAATAGAAAGCATGCATCAGACACAATCGAGAAATGATACGACGAGATTCGAGGGACGGCAGTTTCAATGATTCTTTTAGTGCAGTAACGCTGATATCGTTAGAGTATTGGGAGTAAATAAAACGGGCAGCGCGGTTCTGAATCCTTTCTAAATCGTTAGTTAGATATGTTTGTGAGGGTTGCCAAATTGAGCAAGCATATTCTAGTTTCGGTCGGACGTACGTTTCATAAGCTAATTTTTTAATGTCTGGTGAGGCTAATTTTAGGTTGCGGCGCAGGTATCCGAGAGTGCGTGAAGCTTCTGAACAGATTATTTGAATATGGGTTGACCAGGATAGCGACGATGACAGATGCACTCCGAGGTATTTGTATGATAGGGTAGGGCTAATGGGAACAGACTTTATGCTATAGGTAAATTTTTCTGGGCTCTTTTTGCGGGTGAATGACATAATTTTACACTTAGTTAGGTTTAACGGCATTAGTGACTTATCACACCAAGTTACAATTAAATTTAAATCATGTTGAAGTTTAATGCTGTCGTCTGGTGTACAGATTGGAGAGTATAAAACGCAGTCATCGGCAAAAAGTCTTAATTTGGTTAGCACATTGGTGGGTAAGTCATTTATGTATATTAGAAAAAGGAGCGGGGAGAGACAGGCACCTTGGGGGACGCCGGACGTTACGTCGGAAAGAGGTGAGTCGTGGTCATTAGCGCTGGTGAACTGCTTACGGTTTTTTAGAAAATTTTCTATCCAGAAAATTATGTTGGGAGGGATTCCAAGGTTGCATAGTTTAGAGAGTAAGAGGTTATGAGGAACACGGTCGAATGCTTTAGAGAAATCTAAAATATGGCTTCAGTTTGAAGATTTTCATCCATGAAGTGAAGAATATCATGTGTGAATTCGGCCAGTTGTGTTTCGCATGATAGTTGTTTCCGGAAACCATGTTGGTGATCGAAGAAAAATTTGATGGATTCCAGATATGTCATTAGGTTTGAAGCTATAATATGTTCGAGCATTTTAGATGGGATGCTGGTTAAGGAAATAGGTCGGTAGTTAGCTGGGATTGCGCGGTTGCCTGATTTAAAGATGGGAATAACCTGAGCTTTCTTCCAATCGTCTGGGACGTTTCCTGTTTGTAATGATTGTGTGAAGATTAGGCAAAGTATTTGGCTTGAGACAGAAACGGTATTTTTTAGTAATTTACTGTTAATACTGTCGCAGCCCGCCGAGGATGAAACTTTAAGATTGTTAATGAGTAGGAATATTCCTTCTGGGGTAATTTCAATTTCTGGCATCGCTACAGCTGCAGATTCGGGCAGTGTTACGGTATCAGTGGTGTTGGCAGAGGAAAACACAGACGTAAAGTGGTCATTTAAAGCAGAAGCGCACTGGTCAGCGTGTATTGGTTCTCCGTCAGCGTTAGTGAGGCTTATTCGATTAGATTGTGACTTGGGGGACAGCATGCGCCAAAATTTGCTGGGATTTGATTGAAGAATTGATAGTAGGTCATGGGAAAAGAATTTGATTTTTGCAGCTTTTAGTTCGGTTAAGTACTGATTAGCGCACGCGCGGTAGCGCTCCCACGCAGTTGAACTTTAGCTTAGGCGGGCCGTTCTGTACAAGCGTTTCTTTCGGTTACAGAGTAATTTTAGCTGTTTGTTAAACCATTGGCAGTTTGAATCTGATTTAATGAGGGTAGAAGGAATGTATTTGTTTTTGAGGTTAAGCATTGTAGTCTTAAAAAGTTCCCAGTTACAGTTGACACTTCGTTTTAGGTGCGTATTCCTAAAGTTTTCTAAGAAGTTGGCGAGTTCGTGATTAATCGCATCAAAATTTGCTCTCTTGTAATCCGTGATTACCTTCCGTGTGGGTGATTTCTTTTTAAGTGGGGAGGCGATGCAAATATGGATTAGGTTGTGGTCACTAAGACCAGGGAGCGTATTAATGGTTTTTATGTCGTCAGGGCTCGAAGTTAGCAGGAGGTCTAGTATGTTATTGCCCCTGGTAGGGCACGTAATAGCCTGGTGAAGGTTAAAATCAAGGGCAGTGTTTAAAAATTGTTGCTCTTTAGATGATGTCCCATTCGACGCTGAAAGCAACGACCAACTGATTGAAGGATAATTGAAGTCCCCAAACAAAAATATAGGTGCATTAGAATGTTTATTTGTAATGGTGTGGAGGGATTGATGAAGTAGGTCGCAGAAGTCGGGGTGGCTGTCTGGCGGCCTATAGCAGACGCCAAAAACAAATTTCGAGGCTCCGTTGGAGACAAGAACCCAGATTAATTCTATTTTATCGTCATGGAAAATAAGTGAGGATGCTAGAGTGTTTTTAATAGCTATGAGCACGCCACCTCCTTTCTTACTTTTGCGATCCCGGCGAAAAATTGTAAAATTTAAATTGGATGGAAACACTTCCGTATCTGTGACGTCATCATGCAACCATGTTTCAGTTAGTATCACCATATCAGCACTGATATCATTTATGAAACTGCAAAGTTCGTCGCGTTTAGGAATTATGCTTCGTATGTTAGTAAATGCAATGTTTATGTTTAGAAATGCCATAGGACGGATACACGTGTTACACGAGGCGGAATGATTGCAAACCCGTCATGTTCTGCCAACAGAGGTGGCTTCCGATGATGCGCTGTTTTCAAATGTAATGACGGGTGAGTTCCGAAGTTCTGTGACTTTATCAGTTTTCGCGTCATAGAAGTAAGATTTATTTCCAACAATAAGTTTGTCAACCCTCAGCTTAAATGCACACTTTTGTGGCCGAATGAATTTGAGTAATTTAGAGCGTGCAAGGCGAGTGGCTGCTGCAAAGTCTTCTCTTACGGCGAAGGTCGTATCTTTGAGCTTAATTCCGCAGCTCAAAATCTTTTCTTTTGTTTTAAAGTGAGCGAGCTTTATCATGATTGGCCTATTCTTGTCTGGGGCAAATTTTCCGATCCGATGAGCACGTTCTATGGCTCTTGGTTCGAGCGTAATATCTAGTTGGGCTGTTGAAAGAAAGAAAAAGCTACAAAGGAGGAGAGAAAGAGACAACAGATTGGAAGATACAAAAAGATAGAGAGGAGGAAAGAAATAAAACCAAAGAGAAACAAACGCTGTCCAGCTCCACACTTTTGAAAAGGGGGTAAGGTCAACCTATATTTGAGTCAGCTTACAACTGTGTGTATACAGTAATTGAATATCAAATAGGTTTTAGAATATTACAGTTCTTGCAAGCCACAACAAAAAGTGTTCATGTGGTTAACAGAACCATCAAAGCATTAGAAGCAAATGAGAAGACTTCTTGCTTGTGTGCAAATGCCCATAAAGCAAATAGTATTAGCCATGAATAGCACGGTGTGATGAGGTCTCCCGACGCCGCTAAAGAGACAACAAAGTGGCAGCGAAAACGCACGAGAACGTGCATCTATCTTCAGTGTCGCCTAGCTGCACGTGCCCTCGTGGCAGGTGAAAAAGAAGGAAGAACCAGCCACATTGGCCGGGCAGACAAAGCCAGAAGCTCAAGAGAAGAAGACACATTGGCCTGGCCGGACGTCAACATTCGGGAGGGCAACATTGCTGGAGGTACCTCGTCGGACGTCAACGCTCGAAGGACTGTGGACGCGGCACGTCTTCTACTCCGGCACCTAGCGGACGCAGAACCTGCGACCACCTGCGTGGCCCTTCTCGCCTGACAACGTTTACGATCCGCAACGCAGCCACGACCATTAGGTCAAGGCCCATAGCGTGAGCAAGGCGCTTGTTTGAACAGTTTTTAAATACACTTCTCGTGTTCCTTGTATTTCCACGCTTTGTATTTGTGTTGTTTGTGCCCTCTTGCGTTAGAATATATGTTTTTGTGCCGTGCCACTTGCGTCCTCTTGGTAGCAGCCCTAGCCAGCGTCTCTCGCACCACTCGATAAGCCTGCTCCCCGAACCTTTATTATATAACACATGGTTTCCTTTTACCAACTTTTTTTTTTCGTGCCACGCTTTGCAGAGTGTTGAACCATGGCTACCTTGCCCTAGTAGATGGCAAAGTCTGCCTCGCGAAATTACATACAGCCTGCTGCAATATACTGCTTTTTTGTATCTTGTGCTAAGCACTTGGGTATGAAGCTTATTGTTATTTGCACAAATTTGTTTTTAGTTTTGTGCAGTGATATATCGGTGCTGACGATTAGCAGCGATTCAATTTCTTTCGATCTTCAAACATTTACACACCCCTTGAAAGTTTGCCAGGGCACATGTATATTATAGTGTCTGGAATGCAAATTTAAAATTTTGCAAGTATTTCAAACAAATAAAGACTTCTTTTGCTGCGAGTTACCCATTGAAAAAGTTATTTCACTGCAGCAGGTGGCCATTTTGCCATGAAATCGTCTCCATCTCCAAGGGAAATTCTTCCTGCCTCAAAGCTGCACTTCAAGCACATTTCTTGCACCCCCGATTCATCCTTCATTTAAAAACTGTTTTTTTTTTTGGGGGGCTAAGTGCGGCAACTTTTAGAATGCAAAAATATCACCTCGTACAGCTAGCACCCCACTGCTATTGAATTTCAGCAACTATTTGAATTTACTTCAAAATTCTTAATTCAAATTATTATTATCCATGAAAAAAAAAAAAAAAACGGTTTTTGCACAAGCCTGCAATTCCCCTTGTCTCCGTGTACACAATTTAGTATTAGAAGTATCTTTTTAAAAAATGTGCTCTCGGCTTACGCAAGAAGTGAAATGAAATTTCGTAATGCAGGGTAGTATCGATTATCTAATGAAATTCGGAGCAAAAGTACGAGTTCGGAGAAACCATCGCTGCATGCAGTTTCACTCTTATGCCCTTTCAGGTTATGGTGACAGGAAAATGTCACATGGTAGTGCCTGCCTACAACGTCTATGATAAATCATCTTGCCTGTTTTAACACTGAAGCCCTTTAAGCTGTCGGTAACTTGTGCTCTATCGTGAACAAACTACACTTAAGCCTTTTTATAGCCAAGTTACATGTTATACGAAAAATTCACAGCATATCCACAGAGGGAATGATAACAAGTGGGCGAATCGTCCGTTCGTATAATACTATCACACTATCATCGAACGGACGAAGCTTTGCCTCACTCATCATCATTGACTCCGTGGATATGCCGTGAAGTGCTTATTATAACAGTGCCACCTATCCTATTTACCCGTCAACTATACAAAAATCACTAACCCCACCTAATGAGCCATTTTTAAAAATAACTAGAAGTGACTACTACAACATACTACGAGAAAACGACCCACACCCTAAGGAGCTTTGCCCCCGAAATAAGTTCATCATATGCGAAGATTTGCTATAAAAGTACATTCATAACCTTTTCTACTGCAAGAGTATTCTTAAATTACTTTCCCAAAACCAATATTTCGCTATATCCAGGTTTGAGTGTATCAACATCGTAAACCGCCACGCACTCTATTCATTCCCTTCCAGTGGAGCTGTTTAAGCTATTGCTAACTTGTGCTTTGTAATGCGAAACTTCTCAGGTGGGCATGTGCCACAGAAATCGGGGCAAGCCCCACTACCCTGTGTAGCAGGTGCAAGTGTCAAACGAAAATATACACACGAACAAGATAAAGGGAAGGAAAAGTTAGAAATGGAGAAAGAAAGCGATAGTAGAAGAAAAAAAGACTGATAAACAAAGTGAGTGAAATAAAAAGACAAAGAGAAAAAACACAGGAAACGATAGAGACAGAAAGGGAGAAAGAAACGTACAAAAAAGCGATGCATGAAACAGAAGGAGAAGCAAAGAAAGCCGCCCAGCATCGCCTTTTTTTCAGGCTTGGTGTGAAGCGACTATAATTTATCGTTGCGATCTCACCGGTGTGTTTTAATAAAATGATGCAGCCTGCTTACGTGGCAATCTTCTTGTGGCACATCATGCAGAACACGCTCTTGCCACGTGGAAATGCTTGCAGTGCCACTGGGTAGTCCGCCAAGCACTGGCTGTCGTGCGGATGGTGCATCCTGTAGAGAGAACGGGCACAGAGCATGTGTGTATGACTTTCACATGTATACTAAAACGTAAAATACTAAGTCTTGAAGGCTTGTGGTTGAATCCACTTTTTATATTTCTCCCTGATGCCCTCTGGCGTTTTCGGTGGGGTTTGGTAGGGGCCGGGGGAACTGGCATTGCTAGAAAAAAGACCGACAAGACCAATAGTCGTTTCGCTACTTTTCCAACCAGGAAGGGCACAAGCACTGCCCCATCACGGAAAAGGCTGGTTGTTCGATATGAGGTAATATTTAGTGCAAAAGACAGGTAAAGTATAAGGATCATGATGCCATCTTTGTTTTGTGAGCACAGCGATGCAACTAGAACTGTCTTGCTCTATTACACTGTATAACAGATGCATGTAGACTACGTCATTTGAATGTGCCGTGCATGCATATGCTGCAGTAAATTCCGCTAGTGACTGCACAAAAGCAGTTGCAAGCATTTCTTTGAAAGCCCTGTGGGCTATATTCTCGATCTGTCACTGTAAAAGAACGACAAAAAGAAAAGGTTATTCCACTTGTGTGGCTGAATTGCCATACAACAAAACACACCAAAGCACCTCGAGGTGGAGACGAGGCTCATCTACGTGAATCACCTAATTCCATTAGAACACATGACGACAAAGCTGTGTTCTTTCTCTGCCACAAGAAGACCCTCAATAACCCAGAAAACATGCTTAAAAATCCACTAAATGTACTTTCTAGCACCGTCTATTTGATGCAATGTATTTCTGAGAGCCTTTGTTTTCATTTATAAAATTCTTGAAGGACAGTGAAAGTCTGCTTTGCTCGTTTTTGTAGCTTTGAGCGTCTGGTAATGCCAAAATTGAATCTTAAGTGCTTAACCACAACGCATAACTAACGCTAGGTTAATCAATTTCAAACAATCTGCGTCAGCTCATTCCTGGCGTAAGCAGACAAGATCACCTTGAGAGTAGCTGACAACAGAGGAAGACGGATGAGGAACCTCGCAAATGTTCTTTGGCGCCGACAATATTTGCTTGACCTTTGCAACGTCACGAAGAAGCCTCCTGTCTACGTCAACTATAGAAAATGTTGATTGCACCTGAATACTCACGTGTGTGCCCACCGTGACTTTAAGACTAAATTGAAATATTTTACAGGCAATGCTTGACACAAATAATCGGTCAGAACTGACCCCAAATGCAGGAGTATCAGACCACACAAGCATTTCCAGTTTCTAAATTTGGAGCAAAGAGGCCTTTAATCTCTAGAAATAAATTAAGCTGTCTTCAAAGACATTAAGCCAATGTGATTGAATTTTTGGGGCAATAAGGAGAGTAAAAAAGAACACTCAATACAATCGCACTAACATTCATGCACTGGGGTTTCAGTGCAGTGTTGGAAAATGCAACTTTAACCTTCAATGATTATGAATCACGATCTTGAAAATTACGAAAGTTCTTAAAAATATATATATCAGTCTACTCTGTGATTAAGCCACTCATTATAGCTGTGAGGTCAATATCAGACATGAAATAAATTTATTAATGAGGTGCAATTTCAAAGATGGTATACGATGGCAGTTTTGAAACGAGAAATCTTTCTAATAAAAGTCATGTCAGAAAGAATACAATTCCATTCTTGAACTGCGATTGACTTAAGTGTACCTTTAAGAAGCAACAGTAGTATTCATAAAGAGAAAATAAAAAAGCTTGGAAGAGTCACTTCACCGGTGAAGTAAAAGAAAGTGATGCAGTACCAACCTCATGTCAGAGAAGACCACCAGGTGCTCACAGTATCCCTGGTGAACGTAGACATAAGGGTATCCCAGACGGAGGTTCAGGTCTACAAGTTTGGTGTCTGCCATGTCTGCGACGTTAAAGGGGCCAATTTCTCGTTTGGGATCTTTCGCCCATTCTATTATTACTCTGTAGAAGAAAGGAGAACGTTTTTAGCATCTTGCCTCTAAAAACGCAACTCGGCTCATCCACTAAAACGAATTCCCATTCATTCTAGTAAAGACTGTAAAAGCAAGTCCGTACAACTATAGTAGGCTCTAAAAATGAAAGATGTAACTGATTAAGCGATGTCACTGGTTTCGAAAATGCAGTAGAAGCGCATTTATGTGATAGCTAAGTTAATTTTTTTTTACAGTGCCAAGTGATGTCAGCGACTTCATGTTCATCGCAAATACTTTGAAAAATGACTGTGAATTTTGAAGTATTCTTGAATTGCTATTTGAATGTTAAGGTGTTAATTAAGAAAACACCAAATTTTCATTGTGAGTTGTCAAGGTATTAACAAACTTTATGAACATATTACATTCTTTATGTAGGCCCTCTCTGTTATGACCCTCAATGAGGGTTGACAGTATTACCAAATAAAATAAATAAATATTGAAATCAGACGAATTTCCTCATCAGTGGTGGACACACAAACCTGCACCGATGGGTACGTACTTCAGACAGACGTCATGAGCAGAGCTATTTCCGTAGTCACGGGGGCAGCTTATTGCCATGCCACTGAAATTTCAATGTAACCTCTCTTGATTTCATAAGCTGTACCCAACTATAGTTCTCTTTTCATGTAGAGGATAAGCTGTATACTATTTAATGTCATTTTCTGCAAAAGCCTGAAGTATAATGAATATTAAATATCACGAGAAATCATGACCAAGCAATGCAGTGAAGCTACGTTTCTCCTTTACATAACTACTTTACATTCTCTGGGAAACCAACAAATTCATTTCTAGTGCAGTTTTTTAATTTATGTCACGTGACACCTCCAAAACCTACTGAGAAAAAAGAATGTAATTTGGTATTTTTCCGATATTATTGCTAAGGGAGAGGGCTGTAGAAAACTGGAAAGTTTGCTTTGTAATACTAATAAAAGAAAAAGATATTGCTATGTGTTGACAAAATTAGGAGTTAATTTAATCAACAGAACTAGTTCCCCAGCAGAAGGTACCATACTTTCTCAGCAATTCAGTAAACACATGACAGCAAAGCCGTCATGTGCTTACAATCACCTACATTTTTTCGCACTTGCGTTTTCTGCTATGTTTTCGACACTTGTGTCTTTTATACGGTTATGTTGGACTTTTAAATGGGAAAGAAGCATCCATGTTAAGTTGTGCTTCGGTGATTATTGCACATGATTGATAGATATGTGGGGTTTAACGTCCCAAAACCACCATATGATTATGAGAGACGCCGTAGTAGAGGGCTCCGGAAATTTTGACCACCTGGGGTTCTTTAACGTGCACCCAAATCTGAGCACACGGGCCTACAACATTTCTGCCTCCATGTGATTATTGCACAATCTGCCAGAGTACATCACAAGTTAATGTAGTTAAACTTGATATATGAAAGTCATATTCAAACATAACAATACTACTTTTGTAATCATATATTTGTCAAACGCATGTATCCAGTGCCTGCCGATACTGAACATAAAATTTGACATTTGCTTTATTGCATGCATTCATTATATGTCATAGTTGGCCAGTGCATGTTCGTGTGAGCTTTTAGGGAATTAATTTGTTTAGTCCTTCAGAAGAACTTTGCTAAAAGAATAGGACAAGACATTGAGTTTATTTACCACATACAGTTTTACAGTAAGTGGTTGGGACAGTGAAAAAAATGCATGAAACGGCTTGACAATGCACCACGTTCCATAGGCTTATACAGTAGGTGTCCACTTGCACTATCGAATCCTAATTGCCATGCACTTAGGTTCCAGTGCCTTTGCACATGTTTATCTGCTGTCCACTGCTAGAGTGTCTACAGTTGCATCATTCCTGTAGAGCAAAATCTAGATACTTGAGGCGAATTCGTCTGTGTGTAGCAAGTCATACCATGAGAACATTGTGCGCCAATGAGGAAACCTTCTAGCCTTTATGAACAGTGTGAACAGCTGCTTCACGGCTGCAAGAAGTACAGCCGCTCTCAGAATAATTCGGAACGCCGAGAACGCAGCCCCTCACCCGCCAATACCTTCAGACAAGGTGCGCGCATGCGCGGCCTCCCTAGCGAGCTGGTTTTTCTCCCTAGAGCATCTAGATTGGCATTATCTTGCACCGGAAGGATAGTCCTAGATGCTCTTTGGCAATAAAACAAATTGGACTGAACGGGCCTTGCCTTGTATCGTACTGCACACCACAGTCTCAAGTATAAAGGTTTGAAAATTATTTGCAGTGTGTTTTTGTTGTTATCTGCATCCATTCAGGGATACTAGTTGAGGTTGAAGTGGTAAAGTCACAAAGGCATCTTTGCCTTCTTTTCAACCGTTATGGTCTATTGTGCGAATTATCATATCCTGCTTAGTTATCTTTCGTGGCACTATATTGGTAATAACAGGACAATTTGGACTATTAAAACAAATTTGAAAAATTTGGACTATTTTACAGGTGTGCCGGCAATTGCGGTAATAAAACAGTTCACAACATTAACCCGGCTTGTTCGTCTACGCCAACTTCATGTAGAGGAAGTGCATGCATGCATACTATAACTTTAAAGATCGGGTTTAACGCCTAAAAACCAATAAGTGACAAGAGATTCTGTACTGTAGTACTCCGGAAATTTTGAACCCCAGGGCTCCTTGACGTGCACCTAAATCTAAGAACACAAGCCACGAGCATGTTCGCCTCTATCGAAAAAATACAACCTTAAGCTTCACACGACAGCACAATTTTTATTTACGAATCACATTAGAATGTTTGCATATATTTGTGAACCAAAAATTACAGAATTTGGCAATGTGGTAGCAAGTATTCTTACATTTTGATCGAATTTGTTCATTTTTGGTGCAGACATTTATTTTTCTTTTGTTCAGAGGCAGTTTAGAACCCTAAGAAAAAGTAAATGTGTGAGCTAAACGCAAAATGAATGAAATTACACATCGAGAAGAACATTAAATTTATTTTCCCAAGGATCGTGAATATAGGTGCACTAGAGAGGAACTTCTGCTTGCTAGGGAGACCGCGCAAGCACAAACCATGGCCTTACTTTTTCGTGCGCATAATCCTTCGATGAGCAGCTGCGTGTCCGGCGTTCCGCATTATTCTGAAAGCGCCTGTACATGCAGCAAAATCAGACACTCTGGTAAGGAATAAATTACCGGTGGTAACTGTGACTTTCCAAAATTCTACACAGTGAAGCTGCTCTACAACGACATTGTCTATTTGTGTTGTCTTTTCTAGCATTTGTTTGTTATGGTGATGAACACACAGTTTAGCAAAAAGCAGCCAAAGTGAACATTTCCCGCATATCACCATATCCCGTTTCCCACTTTTGGCACGCTTCACAAATTTTGTTTAGAATGTGTTCAGGACTGTGCGTCATCTTTACAAATCAGGCATGCAGGGTTCCACAAAATGCTTTCAAAATAATAAATCTTACACGACCAAGTTTGCTCCCAATCTTCAGCCCCTAAATTGCACACACTTATAAACAATATAAATGTATCACTAGTGAAAACTTGTGGGAATTGAGGCTGGCCCGCTGCCTTTGCGCGGGCTTTCCCGCCTTTCTGCCATTCTCATGTCCCGACATGTCTGCCCTCCTTTGCTGTCTGCCGCGCTGGGAAGGGCGGAGTGACGTTTAACTCCCTCACCCGGTAGCGGATGTTGACTGTGGCGCCGCGCGCGGGCACTCGCAAGAGGTTTTCGCGCGCTGCGTCGGGAGCGGTGAGTACAGTCCGGGACTTCAAACGGTGAGCCACGCATTCTTTTCCGTCCGTCGAGTCCCGTCGCTCGGGGCTCGTCGGACTTCGCTGACGGCGCCTCGCGCCCGATGCGAACGCTCACCTTTTGTTGCCCCGCTACGTACTCACGGCCGAAGGGCAGTACGGTGTCCTAGTGCGTGGCCTAGCTACGCCGACCCGTCTCCCTTCGAAGCCAACGCGAGCGCCTTTGCCCTCGCTCGAGCAACCGGGCCCTTTGTCCCGGTGTCTCCGTGGATCACCTTTACCGCGGAGACGTGCTCGTGGCACCCTGTGTAGTACTTTGTGCCCGTGGCGTGGATAAGCCTACTTGCTTTCCCGCCGCGCCTTTTTTGCAACGGGCTGTACTGCGTTTGGTGTTGCCACAATAAAGTGTTGCGACTTGAGCAGTATCGTGTTTCCCGCCACGGCGACGGTTAACGCGTGCCCTGCGGCTCGCTAAGACCGGACCCACGCTGGTGGCCGTACTCCTTCGGGATACGTGTACACCACAAACTACAATAGTAACATACACTGCTGTTTTCAGAATGAGAAGTTCCAATGATGATATATGGTGTTTTTTTGGCGCAAGGGCCATTTGATGGCCAAAGAGCGCCAGTTCATGGGACAAGGAATGTGGACAATGATTGTGATTAGCAGCTGTATAAGGGCCATAAAATTCCTCGCAGTAAAGCGGGTAAAACCATACAAGTAATAAAATCATGACCATGCCGTGAAAGGTGTGTGTGGTGTGAATAGGTGATGAAAGTTGGTGATAATAAAAGACGATGGTGGTTATGTATGGCATTAGCACAAGTGCCTCACTCGTTCATACCCTTGCGTCCAAGGGCCGTGAGGCAAGTGCGTTCTTGTGTAGCCACCGCAGCGAAAACCTCCCAGGAGAGGTCGTGCTACAGAATGCCGGGGAATATGATATGAAAACTATGAATTTCTCTTAAAAACGCGAATAATGACTTATGACTAAAAAGCGGTTCCCTACCGACGAACATTGCAGGGTGTAAAGGTATATGTTGTCGGTAGGGTAATGGAAAGTGTTGTTTTCTTAGAGCGTCCAATTGTTTGCACTGAATTAAAACGTGAAGGACTGTTAATCCTTCACCACATCTGTCACACAATGGTGGATCCCCACCCGACAGAAGATGTGTGTGTGTCGTGTATGTGTGTCCTATCCTGAGTCTTGTAAGTATTACCTCTGTATGACGCGATT